ACCTCCTACAATCATTCCCTTCTTCTTTGTTCCTACGTGTAATGTCCTGTTCTACAACTTCATCCTTCTGTATTCTCCTTCTCACGGTTCTGCCCTCCCAGGTCATACAGAAGGTGAAAGTTAATCATGCTCTTTCACTGGTGGATTATTTTTATTTCATTAATGCTTTCTGCTAACTGTTCAGGCTCTACCTGTATTTCTGTCCTCCTGTTTTTCCATCATTTTTGATGGTAATCACTGTACTGTCCTCTACACTTTAATGCCCTGTCTCATTCTTTATTGTTAGAAATAATAAATATTTGGTACTATCCCAGCACCCAATTGGCACTGGGATTTTATTGTTCTCTCTAGACATGACACAAGACAGAGTTCTTTCCCTGATAATATTCATATATTTGGGGTGTATGTGGATATCTGTCCCCCAAGCTTATACATTTTTCTCTGCTTTTGTGTAATTGCCCTAATGTTGTTAGCAAGCCTAAGGCTTGCACTTGCCAAAATAGATTTTTTGAAAAGGCAGTATAAAAAAAAAAAATTAAAAAAAAAATCAGAAGAACTTAGTTACCATTTTGAGAAATCCTTTGTGGTGACCTACAACTAGGAGGAACACTTTTGTGTGTGTCTTATTCTCTTTCAAATCTCTGGTCAAAACTTGTCACTTCAAGTTGTAAATTCATCCTCAGTCTCTCCCTGACTAGGCAAGTTTCTCTGTAGAGAGAAGAAAGCTCGCACACAGAAAAATATATGAAGAAATATGATCAGGTTTTCTAACAGCATTTCTTCCTGACTTTTTATCTTAGATTCAAATCTTAAATATTTTTATTTAGTATATTCCAGAAATCTGTAGTTTGGGTGTCCAGGTGTGATATGTGCTTTAAATGTTAATCTCTTTGCTGTTTAATCTATCAAGACATAACTGATGGCATTAATGTCCACATCCCCCAATCTACCATTTTTTGGTCACACATCTATAGGTTGTAATGTGCAGAATCGACTGAGACTTTCTCTTTAGTGCTATACTGCAGTAGCTTCTAACGATCACTGTCTTATTCCCCAGAACTCAATTTTACAATATATTGGAGGAGACTCAATTTAATTGCAGTGGAGAAGGCTTTATTTTCATCTTTTTCAATTAAATGAATACCTGTTTGGGAGTGCTTTGCAGCTGCAAACTGGAGTTAGGTTCAGCTTGTAATACACGTTAAATAGAAAATGGTGAATAAGGTGCTCCTTGGTAAACTTTTGTTACAGATAGCTTTATACTGCCAGTCTTTATAAAGTTTAACAACCTGTTAGTCATTAATCTCCTGCTGTGACTTTACCTTCCAGTGTCAGGATTAGACATTTAATTCTCTACTAGACTGTAAGTAGCACTGAGACATTTTGGTTCTAAAATTGTTATATAGCCATGGAAAACATCATTTCAGTGGGCAGTTTAACCTCTTTGAGCTCAATTATAGCTGTGAATCGACAATGATAAAACAGCCCTAAATAGTGCTTAGAACAGTAGAACATGATGCTATCAAAACCAGCAGCTGACTCTGTGCGCCATAAACTGACTAAATCGACTGAACTGGAAAGGCATAAAATCTGCCGTGTGGTACACCATTCATATTTTTAAAAATATTTGCAGGTCTTGATATTTTCCTTTCATATCTTTGTGCTGGTTTGGCTAACTTCTTATTCTTTTAGCTATATGTTAATGAATTAAGTGTTCTCCATGACAAAATGAATTAAGCAAGACCTTTATTTAATGTGTTTTCTCCTCTGACAAATGGAGTTTCATGTAGTGGAAACTACCCACACTTTGAAGTCACCTCTAACTTAAAAATTCACTGGAGGGAAAAAACCCTGAAGCGTTGTCTTATGAGTAATAGTTTGTGTCATAATATTTACATCAGAATGCAGGGTAAATTAAGGCATTGCAAAGACATTTTTTAATGTATGTACGAGCGCAATATCTCATGCTGCTTTTAGACTAAACCTTGACATGGTTTTGCTGCATGTTTTATGGCCATTTAAATTCAAGTCAGAGGCTTCTCCCATTCCCTTCTGAACAGAGGTTAGTTGTATGAAGCGGTAAAATCTGTGGATGCGTAAGCAATCTCTTTGGCTGGACTTTGTTGCAGAGGAACATACAAGATTAGTTTTGCAGTAGTTATTTACCTTGATGAATAGCTCTAATTGGATCAAACAGACTGGTAATGCTGAGCTAATACTTTTAAATGTCTTGTCTTGTGCAATTAATATTACCTTGTCATGTATCCATTTGAGCTATTGGATGAATGTCTTATGTTCGTACTCCTGGCACATTTAACAAATGATTTTGTCAAGTCATTCTTTATAGCTTGTGGTGATGGATAGCAAAATTTGTGGTCTCCTGTGTATATAAAAACCGTTAACTATACCTTTCAACTTCAATGCAAGGGCGTCCTAAAACTCAGATAACCAATTTCTAAAGACATTATAATGCATGTTTATAAGAGGGGTCAGAAATATGCTGCTGCCATCTCTGATTAACATAGCATAGGAAAATAGAATTTGTTAATTTTATATTTATCAAACCTGTGACAGAATTCAGATTATTTTTTTTTGGCTGCTGCAAGTCTGAACTGTAGAAGGCAACATACAGTTACCATTAGAAACAAGATATCCATTTTACTCTTCTATTTTAATTCAGATATAACTCTACTGTATATTTACAATCGTAAACCCCAAATTGCTGGTTAGCTGATGCTTTTACTGTCCTTTTTACTGATTTCTGGTATGTAGTAATAGGCTGAAGATATTTAATACTGATGAAAATAAACTGCATACTTAAACATGCTGAGACTTTTCTTACAGTTCTATAGGGCGTATTTTTATAATCTGATCTATAATACCACATTAACCTTGATTAGAAATTGAATTGCTTGTTCGTTGAGCACAACCCTTTGAAACAGATACCTCCTTATGGAATGATATAAACAGAAAAATGTCAGTGTTTATTTAAGAGGGGGGTTTTTTCAGTGTAGTGGACAGTAGGTTTTACTGACGCTTGAAATGAACTTGAGCAAGAGGATTTTTAAGGATTTTTGCTAAGAATGAGACGGGAAACTTATAACCTGTGTGTGTTCCTTTGGAAACGCTACCATTTGGCCTATTTCAGTATAATGGACATCGAAAGTCGAACTGTAGGTGGTAAAGTGAGGCGTCTAACTAGAGAGTAGAGTTTTTTAGCAAGTTTTGGGAGATGGACACCTGCAGAGGGTGATGAAGCAAATGTGAGATGAACCCTCTCTGTCAGTATCTCTCCCTTGATGCTGGCTATAGATGAAACCATTTAGTAGGGAGGGATTGATATACTATTCATGGATCAGAATCTCGTGGTACTAGATGCTGTGCAAACAGACCCAAAGGACGGTCTGAAAGAGATCTCGATATAAGGATGAAACAAGAGTCAGCAAGTGGATATATAGCAGATTGATGAAAGAAAAAAAGAAAGAGTACAAGGTGACAACATGATAGGTAGTAGCTACTACATGCCAGCTTCCCAACTGTTGGCAGGTCTCTTTGATATATTCTTCTTCTCTATTTTTGTCTTTTTTCCCCCTGTTTGTATGTATTACTGTGATAGCTATTCTGAGTCCTTTAATAACTTTGGAAAATGGAAAAATACTTTCCAGGTAAAATCTGAGTCTAATGAAATTTTTTAGAGAAATTAAGTATTACTGTTCTACATTAGCTGCTTTAGTTGCAATAGAAATAAAAGGAATACTGCATGCAAACACAGGTATGCTATTTTGCTTTGCTTGTTTTTACTGCGCCGCTCAGGGATTGAATGGAAATATTCAAAGTTAGCGTTCTCCTTATTCAAACAGAGCTGACAATTGCTGCTGTCAAACAGCAAATGCATCTTGGATCATGTATTTACAGTGCCTAACAATATAGCAGTTTTCAATATGATTGGGTGTTTTGGTGACACCTTGTCTAGTTAGAGCTTTCCTGTCTGGACTGCAAAACAGAGAAAATTACCTTTCCTGATGTTTCACCTAACTAAAAATGCATGATTTAAGGGCACTAATAGCTAGCCAGACCTCCAGGCTGAATAGCTCCCAGCTTGCATTTGAGTCCACAGTTTTTCATTCTTAACAACCAAAAAGCTGGAGAAAACATGCTAAAAATGTTTCTGATCCATGTTCCTATAAAGCAATTAAGTTTCCAGGAAGAATAACTTACGATTTCAGTCATCTTTCTGGCTGTCTTTCAAGTTTTAGTGAAGTTTGACATTAATTAGTGGTTATTAGCAAGGTTAGTGACATCATTCTTACAGTAGTATTGTTTCAAACAGATGTTTTTATGAAATAACAGGTGTTTAATCTTCAGTAACTTGTAGGGTGGTTGTTTGGGGTTTTTTTTCCTTCAGAATAAATTGTAGTGTATTTTCTAAACTGCCTGGAAAATGCTTAGAAAGGCTTTCTGTATCTACCTGTTGGAGATATTTGAACAAGAATACAAAGCACAAGGCATGTGCTAAACGAAATACTCATTATTGCGTAGAATAGTATTCAGTGCAGGAATTAGAGGAGGCTTAGAAATATTCAAGCTAATATTTTTAATGGTTGCTTGAAGTTAAGCTCCTTAATCCATATTTATCTTAAGTGAGCCGAACTGTTTTTTTAAAGTAGCGTGCAGCTTTCAATTCTCATCAATTTGCAATGTATTATGTGGATAATCACTATCGTCCTATATAGATCCATTCAGGCCAGTAGGATTAGGTGTGTGAGTCAGCACGAATCTCAGGAGGGTTTTGGAGAGCCTAGGTCCTTAAATGTTAGATATTTATAAGCTTGCTGCAAATATATAATTGGAGGAAAGGAAGAAAGAAAAAAGCCCAAACTCCCATACAATGCTGTAAGATGCGACAGATCAATGCTTAAATATAAGTAGCTAATGAATACAATGGGCATGTATATTGATAATTCTACTTTTATTTACTGGTCTGCTTTCTTTTGTCACAGCTACGGAAGGCAGTAATGGATCATATATCGGATTCATTCCTGGAAACCAATGTCCCATTACTGGTTCTCATTGAAGCTGCAAAAAGTGGTAATGAGAAAGAAGTGAAGGAGTATGCTCAGGTCTTCCGTGAGCACGCCAACAAGTTAGTTGAGGTAAGTGACCCTATTGACACAGCTAGATTTCCATCTTGACTCTCTAGGAGAGGTAAGGAAAATGATATACTGGCTGAAATGTTCGAGGTAGCATTTCTGCAATAATTCTGTAATTTCAGGAGTTTTGGTCAACTTTATCCAGGCGATTGCACAGCGAATGTCTGGATGACTGGCAGAGAGGAGCACGTGCTGTGTTTTAGTAGCTTATTAACGAAATTGAGCATGTTAAAAATGGTATTTCCAGTATTTTGTCAAAAGTCATGTGCAACAACAAGTAAATTTCAGTTCAGTTTTACTAACAGTACAATAGATCTTAATCTTTATTAAGTGAAAAGCCAAACAGGTGTTTCATACTGTATCTGGTACTGGCCAAAGGCTGCTCTAGACTTAAGAGCTCATCATGCTGAAGTAAATTATGGAAAAGGGCATATAGAGAAAGCATAGCCTTAAGATCATATTTACTCTTGAAAGATCTGTATTACAAATATCTATAGTATCTTCTCTTTCTGAAGAAACCTACTGTCTAAAGTCAAATGATAATTTCAAGTCTTCAGGGATGACATTGAAATAACTCTGTACTACCATCGGGAGTATAAAACATAGTGATTGAAACCTGGATGTTCATTGAATGGACTTTTAATAAAATAATGATAATGCTTATCTCTGTTTGCCCTTTAACAGATCAAGAACAACGAAACATGCTTGTATTTCCTGAAGACAAATATAACTCAGCTTGCCAGTATGTGGCATTATTGACTTCTGTGTACTAGCATTATTTTGAAGAATATGTAGCCCCTTTGTAACATCCTTTCTCTCTAGCCATACTATGTGTTATTTAGCAAGGGAAAATGCTATTTGGGAACTACTGATGTGACAAGTATTGAACTATAGTTTTGAATGGCTTCTGTTCTTAAAGCAGGCATTGTCCTAATTCTTTAGTCCCTGAGCTGTAGCAAGGAGTAAAGGTTTCTCAATTACTATTGACTAGAGACAGACTGTTCCCTGACAAATGTGTGTGTTTGGGGGTGGGGTGGGGTGTATTTTTAGTGGGAGTAAGGTGCTGTTCTGGAGCATCTCACTCCTCCCATGTACAAAACAGGGAATTGAGGTACCTCATCCAGGGTCTGGGAGTCAGATGTTTCCTATAGCACTTGTAGGCACCTAAAGGTAGTTCCTGGGGTTTAAAAGCTCTGGATTCTGTAAAATGCTGAATACAGTAAGGTTTATTACTGTATGGATTCTGTAAAATCCTGAATACAGTAAGGTTTATTACTGTTATCTGCAAGAGGAGCACAGGACTGTCGGCAGCTTTCAGTTCCAACTCTTCTGACTTATGCAAAGATTTGTTACTGGCGCCCGGTGACTGGAGCTGTGGCAATGAGAAAGGAAATAGCCAGTAGGTATATAAAGAGAGGAAAAAAACAAACAAACATGGTTATATTGTAGTGGCAGTCAGAGTTGGAGCCTTATACATAATATGCAATGAACATATATGATTAGTATTATAGCAGTCCCCTCATAGCTTTGCAACAAAGTGTTGCAGTTACAGGTCTAATAGCATTACTAAAAAGTTAAAATTTACTAAGTAGATCTTATTAAAAAGATAATAAGAGATGATGACATAAAAGTTGGAAAAATACCTATTAAAGCCTATAGTTAAATAAACCAGCCCTCTTCCCAAAACAAAAAAAACCAAACCCACCTCCAACTGGACGAAACCTAACAAGAGAGTGGTTATAGTTATCTTGCTTTGGTTTGCAAGCCTAGCATCACATTAGACTTGTATTTGAAGTTGGTTATTCCTGATTTTTGAGCATTATGTGATCACTTTAGGTACTCCACCAATAAAAAAATGCTGATAGTAACAATGTCTTGGCCCTAATACCTAATATTTTTATTCCATTTAGGCTGTTCTAGACTATTAGAAGCAGATACTTAACTGATTCTTGTATGTCTGACATCTGGTACTAGACTGTGGGTCCATCCTTACTCTTTTTCAAGGATGAGTTCTTGTAGATGGATATTAGCTTTTTATTTGTAAGGATTCTTTATGTTTTGGGTAATCTTGAAGAAATTAATTTCTAGTGCAAGTTGAATTTTGAAACCCAAGTTTCAGGTTCATCAGACTGCACAGAAAAATAATATCTGGAATAGATTTATGTCCCTTGTACACGAGATTTTGCACTTAAAATAGTTTCATCATTTTTACTTAATGATGCACAATGGTATCTTAGCAGATGGGCTTCTATGGTTTTGTGGGTCAAGTATTTTGCAAATAGTAAAATGCTGTTTAAAGATGAGACATAATCAAGTGACTATGGAATGTAAGATCCTTTCCGAGGCACAGGGCCAGAATTGCTTGCTAATATACGCGAACACAGTTCCATTGAACTATATGGAGTTGCCCTTGCGTATGTTAGAGGAATTTGTCACTGCAAATCCAATACAGTGAGAACTCTGTGATATTAATCATTATTTTAAAAACCAGAATCTGAATTTCTTGGATGTCTTACAAGGCTCAATAGAAAGTCTGTCAAGAGGTCAGGGAAAATAAGTGATGTTTTAATACTTCTTTATGTAAAAGCTACTTTTTACCTTTCTAAGAAAAAAATACATTTCTTGATATTTGATGAATACACATGGCAAACTTTTCTTTGCATAGCCAATACACTTTCAAAAATATCTGCTGTATGAATGAGGCTTATGGGAGTTAACTTTCTTTTATATAGTCCGTATTGCAGAATACCTAAATCTTCTCTTAAAAGCTTCTTTAATCATTTCTGTATTTTCCCTTCCCCACCTCTTACAACATTTTGGCTTTTGCTTTTCACTTGTTTTGCTATGATATTCCTTGTTTGAGAATGATAACCACAAAGATGAATTCCTATTTTTCTAGACGTTCATGGACAACCAGTTTTGTCTATGGGTTGTGTTGGAAACCCAGAGTAATGTGTCATCCCATGAAACTTGAGGCACTTTATATGTGACACCTATATTTAGAAGCCTTCTTGTCTCAGGGTCCCTCTAGAGTCCAAGAAGGCAGAGCACCTCATGAATGAGACCCAGCTTAATTATGATGTGAATCATCAAAAATAACTCAAATTGTCATACAGATACTTGAGGTAAAAAATAATAATAAAATAAAACGGAATTTAGATGGTACCATTCCAGACTTGGATGGCTAACTCCTTTTCTTCAAATCATATTTCAGCAGTCATTTTTCATCTTTTCTGCCTTCTGAAACTGAAGATAGAGAAGTGATAGTGCCTTTCCAGGTCATGATCTTTACCTCATGAATCCTTTTAATGTTTTTAAAAGAATTATCTCTAATGATTGCAAGTCAGAAAATGCCCGAGTTGTATTGCCAGCTTCAAATGTGACCTTGGGAAGTCATTTAACTTCTGTACCCAGGCACCTTCATTTGTAGCATAAGGTTAATGACAGATAATTCTAATACCTACCACATAAAGGCACTTGACTGATAAATCAGCTCAGATTTATTCAATGCATCTATCAAAGCACTCTATGGGAGCTAATTAATTTTATTATTATTATTCTGTTTAGTAAATCTTCCTTGGTTTAACTGTTAGTCCTCTGGACTGTTTAGTAGGGGTTTTTTGTTTTTTCAAAATTAAATTATTAAATCCAACCATTTTTCCTGGGACATGAAATTCAGCAGCCATTCTTAAAAGCCATGATAGCAAGTTGTTTATTGGCTTTCAGTAGGAAACTTCAACATGTTTGACATTTAATTAAGAACTGAGAAAATTCAGATTATAGAGCCTTCTAGTTAAATTAGTGGATTGGATCAGAATTTCCATCCTTACAAGGATGGAGAAAAGTCCAAGTGAGTTCTATTAATCATTAAAGTTTTGGGGTTTTAAAATATTTTTACGGAAGGACTTCACAATTTGGTGATCAGTGAACATTTACCAGAGTTAAAACCAGTTGCATTATTCTTCCTTGAAACTTATTTCCAACAAAATTGGAATGAAGGGGATTTTTTTCTTTAGCATGAACTCATGCAGCACCAAATTTGAAACAGCTAAAAATAATCTTTTGAAAAGACAGTGCCTTACCAATTTTGTATGAATTAATTTTTAGAAGAATTTTGTGGAGGCTACGTGTATCTATCAGTTTCATCTCTCATAGAAGATTTCTGGAGACACATAATCGTAGTTATCTTCTAAGAACACTTGGCTAGTGGAAGAACTGTTAGGCAATGGTTTATGGTGATTAAAATTTGATATAGTGCAAGCAAATCAATAGTATCACAAGGTTGGAGAGTAATTTGTAGCAGATGAAACCTAACAGCAGCGTTTCTGTTTTATAGTCTCTTTGTCCATTAGGCTTGCAGGAGTCTTTAACTTTCTCCTGACAATCTAATTGCCACTTTGAAGTGGATACTGGGGTTACTTTTAGGAGTTCAGGGGTGGTTTTTTGTTTTCTTTTTTTTTTTTCCTTTACAATGTCAAGCAAAAATAAAAGTTAGTGTTTGAACTTTATAAGATATGATGCAGGCTATCCTTCATTTTCCAAGCATTACTTGCATTATTTGTAGCTCCCTAATTCAGACTGATTTTATGTTTTCCCATCATAAATGTGGAAAGAGGCTTGTACACTGAAGACAAGTGGGGGGGGGAAACCCACTGCTTGCATACACAGCACACAAACCAAGCAATCGGACCTGCTCGGTGACCCCTGCTTACCTCATTTGGTAATGAGAGGAGAGAGGGGTGAGTGTGGAAGGAAATTTTACTGTAGTGGTGGACAATGAATTTAATCTAGATTTACATCAGCAGGA